GGGCGGAATATTCCGTTTGGCGTAACGGTTAACGAATATACGGACTCGACGGATCATGCCTGTTCCGGACATCTTCCAAATCAAGATCTGCGGATTGAACGACTTTGAGAATGCGATCGCGGTCGCCCATAGCGGCGCTGATGCGATCGGGCTCAACTTCTACCCATTGAGCAAACGCTTCGTCCGTTTGCCCATGGCTCGAAAGATTGCCAACACTGTCCGTGGCGAAGTTCAGATTGTGGGGCTGTTCGTCAACGCTTCGCTGGATGAGATCGAAGCAGTCCACGATCAAGTTGGCCTAAGCTGGATCCAACTGCATGGGGATGAATCGGTCGATTTCGCACGTGACCTATATATAAGGACAAGCGTACCCATATTGGCGGCCAGTCGCGGAACGCTTGTACGGTGGGATACGCCTCCGGAAGGATTCCATCCGCACGCGTCGCTAATGGATGCGGCGGTCGAAGGATCGTACGGCGGCACGGGGCAACTTTCCGATTGGGAACTAGCCGCTACCTGGCGAACGATGCCTCACCTGGCCCATCTGGTGCTAGCTGGGGGTCTCACGCCGGATAACGTGGCCGACGCGATTCATGCAGTTCAGCCTTCGGCGGTGGATGTTGCCGGGGGCGTGGAAGTAGACGGACAGCCGGGCATCAAAGATATCGCCAAAGTCGAAGCGTTTGTTTCGGCCGCGCGGAAGGCATTCGCGGACGTCAAATAGCCCCATCTCGCCGAAGATCTTTCGGCATTACAAACCCGGGCTATCCCTTGAGTTGCGGCGAGTACGGGCAACCGCTGGCCGCCGCGAGTATGTCACCAAGTGAAAGCCTCGGGTTTTCCCGCAGATTTCTCAGGTGTAACCTCGAATTTCGCGTTAGCCTGACCCCCTCATCCCGGGTTTGCTAAAGAGTGCTTGCAACGTATCATATCGGTTTAAGTTTCGGCACTTTTTTTGTGCATATTCGCGAGTCTGCCGCGGCCTGATGGAGAGGCCTTCGGCGAACGACTCACTCCCCGGTTCCTTCCAATACAAGGTGGTATCCACAGTGTCCCAGGTCGAAAAGCTTCCGTACAAGGTCAAGGACATCTCCCTCGCGAAGCGTGGACGTCAGGAAATCAAACTGGCCGAAGTTGAAATGCCGGGCTTGATGGCTCTGCGTGAGAAGTACCGCGACGAGAAACCGTTGGCAGGTGCACGCATCGCCGGCTGTCTTCACATGACCATTCAAACGGCTGTGCTGATTGAAACGTTGGTCGAACTGGGTGCCGAAGTCACCTGGAGCG